GGACTTTGGGGCACCATTTACATGAAATCGGACGAAACTATATATGGGAGCTATATCTAAATCTGGACCGATTTTCACGAAACTTGGCAGACATCATTCTAGACCTAAATGATTAGGCTGTACCAAATTTCGTGCAAATCGGAAGATATATAGGGACCGTTTACATTAAATCGGTTAAATATATATATGGGAGCTATATCTAAATCTGAACCGATTTTTCCCAATTTCAATAGGGTTCGTCCTTGGGCCGAATAAGTGACCTATGCCAAATTTCATCCAATTCGGATCATAAATGCGACCTGTACTTTGTTTACAATTTAACATGGACAGACAGACGGACAGACGGACAGACGGACAGACGGACGGACGGACGGACGGACATGCATAAATCGACTTAGAAAGTGATTCTATGCATGTTCTCAAAAGGAACCATGTGTCTATCTCGTTTCCTTTTGCCTGTTACAAACATATGCACAAAGACATAATACCCTGTACCACAGTGTGGTGAAGGGTATAAAAATAAGAATAATAATATTTTCCATTTCAATATCTCAGGTGTAACAAAAAAAACGTACACAAACCTATTATAATTTAAAAACGCTGTTAACAAGAGTGTGATTAATCGAATCGAGTTTAATTAAATTACCAACTATGTAAAGTGAGATTAATCGTGTTTTTTACTTTTACCCCTTGTTGTTTTGAATTCGAATTCAATATCTTTCTTCGTATATAATAATAGCATCTATATAATTATTGCAATTATGAAATGTTTACTGGCATTTTTACGCTGATATAGAAAAACTTGGCATAAAGAAATTTTTCGGTATCAGAATGAGAAGAGGCAGAAAAAAACCAAAACAACAATATAATCGAAGTGAAAAAACCCAAACACACATATAGGAGAAGAGGCGGCATAAATGGAATATTACTTTGCGTTATTGTGATATACAAGTGGGTAACACTTGTATATTATTATATGATGGAGGAGGGAATTTGTTTTTCTGCCGTATAGAAGATGTAGGCAATTAGAAAAAAACAGCAATTGAACTGAGATAAAAAATCCATTAAAGCAGAAAGTAAATGTTTTTTTTAAAAACATTTTCTATTATGAAATTGAAATCTATACACATTGTTAAAATACAGAAAAAACAGAAACATAATAAACATAAACAAAGGTGCCAAAAATAGAGTGGCTGAAATATTATGATGTGTTAATATGTCACGCGTGCTAGACGGTTCCGATTACATGTATTCTAAAACGTTACTACAAATATTCTAAAACGTTACTATGACACATCATTGTCTATATAATAATTCAAAGATACCTCTGTGGCCATATAATCTAACATTCCTCACCAATCGTTCCTAATGAAAATTGTAATAAAAAAAGTAACAGACGAAGATGCCCTATAGACCGCATTTTCGGATTTGCTGGAGGTACCAGAAGACGTACAATCTTCGTACACAGCCACATTAGTGGCTGCTGCACTCTGAGACCAACTGGTCCATTATGATCATGCACGAAAGATATGGAGATATGTTTAGGGGAGAAGAAAAGGGGGTGGTATAGAAAAGATAAGAAAAAAAAGAAGAAGCTAAGAACCAAGGGAGTATGTGGAAGTTGGTAAGTAGTTTGGATGGCTAAAGAAATTCGGACAGAAGACATATTACATAAGGTTGCACTTTCCCAACCTCTTAAGGTTTCTAATGATGCTGTAGATCAAAGCAGGTTCCATAGTTGAATAGAAGCTTAGACACGGTGGAAAGCACCCACCAATCTGTGCTGTCTGTAGGCCAGAACTGAACAGCGACACAGGGGATGCTCAGTTGTCTCCGCTTCCTTCTCGTCAACACAGAGTCTGCAATAGTCAGTAACATCATGGTCCCACTTACTGGTAAAGGTCCTGATATTGCAATGATGACTCCTGTCATTACTCTGACTTCAGCTTTAAACATGTACAACAGTGAGTTTGTTCTCTTGGTTGGCAGATTCGGCCAAATAGATCTTCAGACATTGCACCTAGGTTCGTTGTGCCAGAGTTCATTGGCTCGCTCGTCGAAGAACGCATCAAAGTTCCAAAAAAGGTGACAGTTGGGTGGTTTGATTAAGCTATCCATTGCTAGATCTGTAGATTGAGATCCGCGTCAAGTTAATTCGTCTGCTTTTTCATTACCCATGATATCACGGTGTCCTGGTACCCAACACAGATATCGGCTGTGTAAGTAAGATCTTCTAAAACTGTTCTACACTTGAGGACGACCTCAGATTTGATGGCTTTAAAAGCCGCTTGACTGTCCACAAAGATAGTCACCGGTTCAACGATCGCTGCATCCAGGCTTTTTATCAATTCCGCTGCCTTCCAGATCGCGAAGATATCAAAACACTACAGTTGCTATCCAGCCAGCTTGTATGTAAGCTCAAGGTCTAGCCTTTCACAGTAGACGACTGCCCCCGTACTTTCTTCCATCTTGAATCCGTCTGTATAGAAAGCCAGACCATCCAGTGGAGGGTTGCTACGTTTCCAGTCGTCTCTAATAGGGATAACGACTTCTAAATTGTCAAATCTCAGGACTGGTGATATATAGTCGCTTAGTTTTACATGTTGGTCCAATGTCATACCTAATTCGTTCAGGGCACATCCATGCTCGTAGGTACAATTTCGCCATAGATTTTGTTCATGCAGCCTACGCGCTGCCTGACACTTAATGCTGAGACCCAGAGGCCTTAAGTTCATCATTGCGTTCAGAGCTGCTTGTGGGGTGCTCCAGTTATTAGAACCGTGGCGGCTCTTTATACCTTGTCTAGTTTGCTGGATGTTGACTTGTGGCGCAGGCAGTGCCACCAGACAAGAGAACTATAGGAAAGGATGGACCTTACCACGGTGTTATAAAACCAGTGTATAGTCGATGGTTTTAGCCCCCAACTTTTCCCAATGGAATTCTTACATGCATAGAGTGCAATTTGAATTCTCTTCACCCGTTCCTAGGCGTTCCTGTTCCATCCTAATTGACAGTCCAGGATTGTGCCAAGGTATTTTGCTTCGGGGGCCAGATGAAGCTGCACTCCATCTAGAGTTGTTGCAGCAAAGAAGCTGAGCTTCCCAGTGAACATTACCAGTTCCGTCTTTGTTGGGTTTACACCAGGGCCGTTCGCCTTGGCCCAGCGTGACAGTGTCAGGAAGGCTCTTTGCATAAGCTCCGAGATTGTTGACGGAAATTTTCCAGAAATAAATATCACGTCGTTCGACTTTGATATATTTTCCGTCCAGTTCCATCAGTATGATATTAATTACCAATAGCCATAGCAACGGTGAGAGCATCTCTCCCTGACGGGTGCATCTAGTTACTGTTTTCTGTTTTTGTATCCCCCACTTTTGAATTTATAATTCTACTGTTTAGCATTTTATCTATCCAACAAGTAAGGGTTTCAGGAGTACCAAATTTTTTAAGTGAGTGGTTTACAGACTCAAGTTTAACGCTGTTAAAGGATCCCTCTATTTCTAGGAAGGCGGCCAACATAAAGTTCGAATTTTCCATATTCCTCTCAATATTACTTACCACCTTGTGCAGTGCAGATTCTAAAGACTTGCCCTTTATGTATGCGTGTTGTGAATTGCTAAGAGAGGTGGTGTCTATACGACTCCTAATCTCGGTCGATCAGTCACTCGAGAGTCATGAGCACAAATGATAATAGGCTAATGGGTCTATAGTCCTAAGATAGCATTTGAACCGGTTAAATTTCTTATTATAAAAAATATATAATTTTAATATAGATTCAAATCTTTCTTAAAAATATGAATTATCGTTAGTGTTGAAACGACCTATTTTTTTAGTGCAACAGATGCCGACTATTGGTACATGCCGACATTAGGAACACTTTTACCCTAAACGAAATTATATGTGTGATAGCATGTCATATTTGGAATTCAGAAACCAGAAGTCAAAGACCAGTAGATTAAAAAAGGGAGTTCCCCAAGTAGATATTATATCTCCGAAACTTTCAAATTTCTTACTTTCTTAAATTGCACAACCATTGAAACTTATGATCGATGGTGCACAAATTTCGATCACAATCCATTTTTTTATATATTTCCCGCTTTAAACCCCCTTAGCTTAAATTTGATATGCAATTTTTAATCTCTAGTCGTCTTTAATTCCATTATATGCATTTCTCCAGTGGGTGTATTCGAGCTTATCTCTTCGGTATACAGTATTTAATAATTATTTACTTGAAAGAATGTGGGCATGTCGATATAGAATGAATGGACAGAATAATTTTCAAGCAAGGCCTTTTTGTATGCACTTCCTGCAAAATAATGATAATGATGTCATGGCCTTTTTTTGCTGCAACGAAATGCAAATGGAATTTATTCGCATAAGACGCTAGAGATTACAGCCCATGAAAAATTAACTCTTCAAAACTGAAATAGAAACGAACTTTTAAAACAGTTAAAATAAATGGTATTTCAAAGTTTAATACCTATCGAAATTTTTAAATTCCTCCACATGCTTTTGACCACCTGTAAATCTTTTTTGCATTCCATTCCGATATATGGCAGCCAATGGCCGTAAACAAATTGTTTTGCTATCTTTCATTTATACAAATCGCAATGTAGATAATTGCAATGTTTGCGTTATCTTAACCCTATATAGTATGTATGCATATATCAATCTATGTAGGTACATGTGTAGTACTTGATAATGGTCATATATGGTGTACCCCCATACTACAAAAAAAAAAGAACAAATAAATTTATTTTATTCCCTAGTGATTTGAAATTCAACAATACTCAGATTCCATTTCCTTTTCCTTCATATATATTTATCCAAATATATAGTAGGTATTTTCTTTTCTATTTTGTTTTCCACCCACATCTCTTCCTATGCAACATCCTTGCTTCAAGAGAAGAGGAAAATTAAAAGAAAATATGAAAAAACAAAACAAACATTCTACGATGTCTTACATAAGTACATGATGTCTTCGTCGGGACGGAACTTACCTTCTGATGGGCCAATGGTATGGATACAATGCGACCACCAATACGACCACGAGCTTCCAAAATGCAAAAACTGTCACAGCCATTTTGCAATAGATGATTGGCAGCCGATAGACCAGCCATACCAGCTCCAATTATGATTACCTTAAAATTGGTAGGCTGAGAAGAGCTGGAAGCGGCCGCAGCTGCTGCTGCTTCCATGGCAGCAGCATGCTCCTCAGTTGGAGAAGGAGCTGGTGTATGAGGAGTTGTCTCACCCATACCTGCTGCTTGATGGTGCAACCAAGTGCTGGTGCTGGGTGCTAAGGACGACAACGGCGACAAGGACTACGTCTTCAAAATATTATTACAAATTTTCGAATTCTTTCTATGGAGACACGGACGCACACACACACACGCACGCACGTAACGTTATTAAATAATCAATAATATACTTCTTCAGAATAGAAGTACAAGAATTTATTTTTTCAATGCATCTATGATTTTTTTCTTTTTTGCAATGGGTATTTTCCTCAGAAGAAAAACAACAACAATAATTTTTTAATAACTTTTTTCTAGGCTTCTTTTTTGCCTAATTTTCACTTTTTTCGCTTAGCCAATGGCTGGCTGGTTGAATTGGCTAACTTGCTTGGATTTTTTCTTCAATATTTTTTTTTTTCTTTTCTTCTTCACAAGTACTCGAGGTATTCACTTCACTACTACTGCTGATATTTCTTCTCTACTCTTGTGGAAAACGAAAAAGCAGATCCACAATTAATGTCAAAATATTTTGTGTTGCCTTGCTTGGCGTTGTTGTTGTTCTCTGTGGCGTGTTTTTGCTGGTGGCTGATGAACAGACGGACGACGGGCACAAAACATTGGAACATGCACGTACTGCGCAATCGCTGGAGTTAAGCGTGTGCCTTTCTGGCTACTCTCTTCCTCTCATCGACAGACAAAAGGCATTCGAATGTTTTGTTTTGCTTCTGTCAATCGTTAAGCACACAAATCACGTAACCTAACTCCCCGTCGTAAAGAACCCCAAGAAGCTAACAAGAAAAAGGAATATCCAATTGGAAAACCCACACAACCGGCATATGCTTGTCACTCAATTCTAATTGCACAACAACAAATTATACACACAAATCTCTTTATTCACTGCCTTTATGACTCCTCATATTCGTTTTATTTAGTATTTTTGTTTTTCTTTCGTTTATATAATTCGAAATAAGCAAAATAAATACATATATAATAATAATTAATATTGCATCAACCGACCGACCCGACTTGTCTTTTCAGTTAGTTGGCAACGTAATGTACGTAACGTAGCATAAGACAAGTGACAGACAGAAAAGAAGTCATGGTGCAATTATACAAGGTAACAGTAAAACTACAACAAATAAAATGCAACAACAAATAGAAAAATTGCCAATAGCATTTACTCAGTAAAATATGGTTTTATACTATTGGTCTGTTCCAGAAACTGCAATAATGTACAATTTTTTACTACGATAACAATTTTTCCTTTATGAAATCGGAAAAAATAGTAAAAATTAGTAGATTCTTGCAGTACGGGAACAGACCATATATGTTTTTACATTTGTGCTGTCACTTTATTTACATATGTACTTGTGTGAAACATAAGGAAATTCCAACGTGTCAATGTAATATGTAATTCCATACAGTATGTCAAGAATGAGTTTACGCATTGAATAAATACACAATTTTCTCAACTTAATTAGAAATTAACATAAAATATTTTTTATTAAACTTATTTTTTTATAATTGTATACATATGTACAGAGATAAAATGCAAAAAAATAGCAAGTTTAGTTTAAAAACATTAAAAAATATAACAAAAACAAAAAATATTCAATTTTAACATTGTCAATTAACACTTTTCACAAGAAGTAAATGTCAATAATAATATTATTGAACACACATTTCCATAGTTTTAATATTTTGTATGGCCTCCCTTTGCATCTACCACACATTGCATTATGCTTAGGATCATTATCCTGATAAAATTTAAAATGTGGCTTGTTATCCCTGGTGAACACAACACTGGTTACCAAGTGCTTCTTTAAAATATCTAAATATTGTTGTTCGTCCATAGTTGTTTCAATAAAAGCTAAGTCTCACACGCCTTTGCTTGATATGTACCCCAAATCATTATTGACATTTTTCAAAATTTGACTGTTGGAGTGATGTTCTGCCTTTCTATTGCTGTTAAAGGCTTACGCCATACTCTGGTTGATCCATCGTTATAATATAACATAATTTTAATTTCATCGCAAGATATAACGTTGTCCCAATATTCAGTCGGGTGTGAGACGTTCGTATTGGAGAAGGAAAATCTTTTTTCTATATAGTAAGGGATTTTTGCGTGCTACTCTTGATGAGTATTTGTTTTTAATATTGTCTGTCTAACTGTTTCGTGACAAACTTTAACACCACACTCTTCTTCGATCTCCCTCGATCTCCCGTTTTGCATAATTTTTCTAATAATTATGCGCTCAGTACGCTTATTAATTTTGGGCTTCGGACCACCACATTGCTTTAACTCCAGTCTTCCCTCGTTTTCTGTTCGATTTAATACATTGTAAATTGTCTTTCGTGTACCTGAAAACATTTCGGACAATTCGATCACACCTTTTCCCAATTGAATTACATCAAAGGATAACCTTTTGCCTGGCATTTTTTAATAAAATATTTCAAGGTATGTTGCGCACACTTAAAAATTTTGTGATCAAATGATTCCCAATATAAAACAAAACAGTAGAACACGCAAAAGCTAACGGCAGAGTACCGTTAAAATTCATACAGTGCTCACCATAAGAAAAAAGCACGAGATGTGTAAAGAGTTATTTGACACTTGTAAAACAGATCCATATTTGTTTTTGTTGTACTGTTCTTTTATTTTTCAATCAATTTTAATTTCGTTGATGAAGTGCAGCATACAATTATTATAAATAACCAATAAATATTAAAAATAATATAATAAGTGTTATTTCAAGCTTCTACATCTGAATATGTTTAATAATGTCATTCTTGACATACTGTATGTATTTTTTTCCGAATAGGACCCGCTCTATTTTTGTATCTGAAATATAGAGAAATCAGCTGTTTGAAAGAAATGTGTTGCTGGAAAAATTGAAAATTTGAATTGAAAATCAAAGAAAAGGATGAAAACTAATAAATTATAAATTGATTTTTAGAAGTCTAATGAAAAAAGTATGTTTTGTTGTTGAAAAAATTAAGGTGTCGTTTGGTTTATAGGTTATGTAATACGAAAATACATATGGAAAAATTATAAATTTTTTTTATAATTCCATAAAAAATTTGAAAAATATAATTCGAAATAAGCAAAATAAATACAAAATTAAGGTGTCGTTTGGTTTATTGGTTATGTAATACGAAAATACATATGGGAAATTATAATTTTTTTTTATAATTCCATAAAAAATTTTTGAAAATTTCAATTCATTCATGATTTTTGGTACATAGGTGAAGGAAAATATGCTGATTCGAAATCTGTTCACAAATTCGGATGCTGCGCACAAAAGTTATAGCGGTTTTAAATCTTGTATTTCAAATATAAATTAAAGGAATTTCTATTTGTTGTAAATCGCGAATTTCTTTACAAAGTCTGCTTTTCCACAGGCAAATTTTTATTTGGCAAACTCTGAGTTTGTAGGCGAGAGGAGTGCGAGGAAGAAAAACAAAACTTTGCCTGTTCAGAATTTGCGGTACACGCAAAGAATCATTCATTCTTTGATGTGTCATTTAGCGGCCAAAGTGTGCCGATCGATGGTTAAAAACGGTGGATGTGCCGCCACATTCAATTTTGGATGAAATACGCATACGCATCCGTGTATTTTTGACCTATTTTCACACAGATTCACGAATAGGCTAATACAAACATGAATGTATGTAAAAACAAATCGAAGAAAACCGCGATTATATACGCGAATTTGTCAAAATTAGTTTTTGCAGTTTTCCCTACATTCAAGGTACCTATAATCGCAGTTTTATTGGGCGGAATTGAACATGGCTGGGCTCATTAAATTCGGCACTTAAAAAAAAACTAAATCTACGTGTGTTTTCACGACATTTGAATGGACTTTCTTAAATTTAGACTCAAAAAATAAGTTTTTTTTATAAAAATGTTCGTATTTAGAATCCAATTGCAAAGTAGCTACGGTAGGCACATTCATGAGATATACACTAAACGAAGCAAAATCAAGAGTTTTACAATCCTATAATCAGTTTAATCCATTATCTGGTTCCGCGTTCGGCTTCAAAATGTCAGCATCCGTTTTGGGTACATGCAGCGATTATACCGAAATATCATACATTAGAACCATATTGTCCAAGGGGTATTCTTCAACATAGTCACTGATCACATGTGCGTGCATTGTGTAGTTTAGCCACAAATCAGGAAAGAAAACTTGTTGGCTTCAACACATTTTCACCCATTTCAGGCAAATAATTATTTACTACCAATATTTGACAGGAGCATTTAAATTTATAGAAATAAATTTAAATGCTGTTATTGTTTATAGTTGACCTGGAAATTGTTAATTCTGTTTGATGATAGTTCGGCTGAAGGCCAATGAAAAAAAAATTGTTTCTGTTTAGCTTTGTTTTTTATTTATTTTTCCAATATTTCGATTGTCATCGACAATCATCTTCAGGAATCTGTTACAAAGAATACAGTTAGTTATAAATTGATAAACGAAAATTTGTTTTAATCCACCAATCTGACATTTATGTTATTGTAGAGGAAAAGCGTCTACATTAATTTAACGTCACAGTCTAAGTTTTCTTACGTCTGTGCTTATGTACTAAATTCTTATAAATATTGCTGTATAGTTTGCAACAAGGAAAATAGTTTTCTGATAATGTATAATATTATATTATCTTCGTAATGGTTTTATAAGCGTTTAAATTTTATTATTTTTTATAGTTTATTATTTATTTTGTACATATTTTAATCAGTAGACATATTCTGTAACTTTTAACAACATTCGATTTTTTAATTTTACAACAATTTGTTTCTTTTGTTTTTACAATAACAAAAGAAATTTTATCCATATCGAATGTTGTTAAAAGTTACAGAATAGGCCTATAGATGTATTATTAATATTAGAAAAAAATATTTTATGATTTTTCACCTTGGGGTATATTTTTGTTTCGACTCTTGTCTATTTTTTGCACTTTTTATATATTTATCCTCTCACAATCCAATAGAAATTGCACCATCTATAAAATTTTAAAATCAAGTGAATTT